TGCAGCCAGCTGTGCTTTTTCTTAGGCTATGGTAGGCTTCTTGGGGGCTTCACCCTGAAAGCCACACAAACCACATGCACATACTGGAGACCCTTGGAGAGATCCAGGCTGCTGGCGTGCACTGATTGCTCCTCGTTACATTGGTCATAACAATATCACTGCTGACTTATTCACATCTGTCTCCCTACTGCTTCTACTCACTCTCCCTCATTTTTAACTTGATCTCCAAGCTCTTTGGGGCAAAACCTCACCTCACCCACATATTTTAAAGCAAGGCTTCTAGGCACTGTTGTAATAAATATGTAGATACATACATGTTTATACATATATATAAAAACTATGACAGTCTAATCAAGTGTGTTGTGTAACAGCAGTGTGGTACAGAAACCCCTCAGCCAGTGCTGACCTGACATGGCAAATTTCCACAGCACAACCTGTGGGCTGCCCTGGTGTGAGCTGGCTGGGTCTGAAGGCTATGGAAAGTCAAGAGACGAGTTCCTTTACCCCCGTGCAACTTGGTGTACTTCTGGCTAAACTTTTTCCACACCAGAGCTATCTGAAGTGTTAAAAACGGGGTTGTGATGTAGATATTCTTGATGACCTTGCACGAATGTTACGTGCCAGGGGAGTAAGGAGCAGGAGAGAGGTCATGGTAAGACCCACTGACCCAGAGTGCCTTACCATAATAGAAAACATTCTGCAGTGATACTTTAAATAGCATCTGCCCAAGTTGTCCTTGAAGACTTCAAGTTAAGGGAAGCCTAGTCTTTTAATAGACAAGTGTAGTGTTTAGTCATCAGGCAGTCAGTTGCATCATATCAGACGGAGTATTTGGTATTAATCAAGGAGGCACACACTGAAGTATATATCCCAGATACTTGGTTGCATGAGAGGAGTTATCTTTAATCATTGGGTAGAGTCATATGATGTATGCCCAAAGAGACAGCATACAAATGCTGACCAAAGCCCTACCATGTCCAACAGCAGGCTTCCACTGGAACACAATAAAAATTCTTAAATTTTGGAAAAATTCCACCAATAGCCAGATTTTCAGTGAGGCTGAGCATCTGTCAGTTCTCTATATTATATGGCCTTTATCTGTGGTCTGTTTGCCCAACAGCCCTATTTATGTAGCAACACAGGTGCCAAGGAATGAAAACCTCCCAGTCACCAATATTGATTGGCAGGCTGCAGGCAGTACATCCTCAGCATTCACAAAGAGAGGAGCAGATTGAATCTGTCCACCATTAAAAATAACAATTATAAACTCTTGCTAGCTTTCTTTGCTGCCATATAGAAAGCAACAACAAAAGAGGTTGTGTTGTCCTTGGAAGAGATGTCTTAGACAAATTGAGTATCTCAGCCTGTAGGGTCCTGTGGCATACACATTCCCTGATTTCTGAGAGAGTGAGTGTGCAGGTGCACGTGCTAAACCTGTGTTCAGTGTAGGAGCAAGGGAAGTATCCATGAGTACTGGGAAATATCAGTTTCCCTGATATGGGATGGGGGAATCCGGTGTGCGTTATGTAGCACTTTTATCGATGGCAGGAGCACTGCAGGCTTTCCAACAAAGAGGCTCAGGCCTTGAAGTGCAAGGCTTCTCCGACTGCACCCCTTTTGAAAAACAGACTTGGGAACAGACTAGCAGGAGTGTAGTATGAAAGAATACCTGAAGAACTGAAGATTTTTTTTTTTTCCTCTAGCTAAGTGTGAAGTATGTGCTTTCCCCCGAAATGAAGCAGTGTTAAAGGTAAAGTGGGGGACAGCAAGGAAGCTTCTTTGCCATTTTAATAAATACCAATAATTCCCTTTTGCCCATGCCCCATATTCCCAAACTAATTAAAGCAACTTTGCAGATTTTTTTTGGATCTGGAACATATAAGCAAAACCCAAACCATTCAGTCCCTTGAGAATCACTTGCACAAATTCTATAGGTTAGGCCAAAATAAGTTTCTGTCAAACAGCCTAACACCTAAGCTTATTACAAAACTGGTGAATTGTACAAAGGGTCTGTATGTAGGGCACTCTCAGAATGAATAAAGGTGGGAGTGGGCTCTTTTCACGGTACTTGTTTTACTTTGACCCCGCTGAAAACTTGAGCAGTGTTTTTATTGAATGTGTAGCTCTGACCAGTGCAGTTCCCACAGATTCTGTTCCATAGATCACACATCCTAGCTGATGGACTCAGAGGGCTGCAGAGTGGGCAGGTGGGTGCACACCTCAGTCTCATCCCAGGCCAGGCAGGAGTGTGCAGCAGTGCTTTCTCCTTTCCTGCCCACTCCTCCCACCCACTCTCCAGGAGCTGTGCATCCCCAGTCAGGGCTGCAGCACACTCTCTTATGCCCCTCAAATGCCCCAGGATGGGGCTCCAGCCCTTCCTTCTGTTACATGGACTTTAAAGCATGAGAAGATCTGTTTGAGTTTGTTGGCTGCTCTGCAGGGCAGTAGTTCTGGTATGGGCCAGTGGGAAGTGGGCCCTGTTTGTGGGGGTCACCACAGCCTCTAAAAACTGAACTGAGATCTCTTCCTGACATTCAACCTGGTATCTCCTTGCTATTTTCTTTTCCAAAGAGCGCTGAATCTGCTTTTCATGCTGTTTTGGCCCTGTCCTATTGATTTGTCAAGTTCTCATGTGTGAATGAGTGCTGGCATATGGAGCAGCTGGGTTTAAGTGGACAGTAGAATGGGTCAGGGTTTGTGTACTTTGAGTATATCTTCTGAGCTCATTTTTCCTGCACTGCATCCATTCCACTTATGCCACCTCCACAGCTCCCCAGGCTTAGCTGTGTGCTGAGCTGACTGTAGAGCTGCATATCCCAGAAATTCATTCATGCTCCCTCACACAACTTACTGCACTCTCTCACAGGATTGCACCACACATTTGGAAAATGTTGTCTTGAGTTTTTTTAAGGTGATATGAAGATGCAAGTGCATCATATTCCTCCATCAGCAGATAACCAGGGAGGAATAGGAAGAACTCCTTGTCTGTATCTGAGATACATTTATTGTTATTTTTGGGCTTCTTTCTTCCCCTTTTGAATGAGTACTGTATGTGTCTGGGAGGATTTTTAAAACATCCTTCAAAACACAGGCTTTTTCTCTCCACGGAGAACCAAGACAAAAGGATGGGTTCAGTTGTGTGCAGCTGTTAAAAGAGGGCAGCTGAGGGCAGAAGGGTGGGAGGAGCAGAGTGTCTGAGTATGGGGGAATTGTCAGGGCAAGGATTTTGAGGTGGCATTTGTTGGGATAGAAATGTTTCTAGGGAAACTGGGTTGAAGAGATGAGTGTTAAAGGACTGCAAGTCCAAGGATGTGAAATGCTGGGGAGTTTTAAAGAAAAGGGGATTAGGTGGTTTGAATTCTTGGCAAAAGAGAAGGAGACTTGTATGTCAGAAGAAGGTGGTTTTGCCATCAGACAGGCACCTACACTTTGGATGTGATATCCTCCATACTGGATGTCTGTGAATCCGATCACTCACAGCCTTTGGGCTTTTTGCACATTATTAGATAACTGGAAGTGACAGCTAAAGTTAGAGGAGTGTTTTATGTATTTGTGGTTGACAGTACCACTTGCAATTGGAGGGGCAAAATGTAAAGCCCCATCATTTGGTGTGACACAGTTCAGGACAAGCAGGATAGTTTTACCACTTGCTCCTCTAAGGTTATGACTGCTTCCCCTGACCAAGTTAGCCCAGTTTTGAGGCTTTTATGGCTAGTGGATTCATCACTGAAGCAAAGGATGCTTCTGCCGAGGCTTTGAATCAACTGTGAAGCTTAGAGGTTCTAAACACCTTAGACTTTTTCCATGATAGCCCCTGAAGAGGCTCTTCAAATTCCCAGATTATGTATGTACCTTTTTCTCCAGTCTCTCTCGTACCTTTAGGGGCAGCTCTTCTTCCCAATAAACAGTCTAAACTGTGTGCTACACAGAAGAGCATCTTGCTCTCTGAGAATTTAACACACCTACTTGTACTGTCACTGTTTGTTGAGGCACTGTAAGTGAAAATTTTATTTTCAAGCTTTTTGAAAGCTTGAAAAGATAGCAAATTGCATTCACTCAAAATTTTAAGCAACTCACACTTTCTTCAAAATGAAAAAAAACCACACACCCCAAAACAACAAAAACCTGATAACAAAATTCCCAAGGCCACATTCTTAACAGCTTTTTACAAAGTGTAGTCCCAACATTGTTTAATCCATCAATTTTATGGTTCTTCTTTGTAAGTGGGCCTGCTTTCTCACATGTAGTTTTCCCTGTGCCGTACTTAAAAAAATCCTTCTAAATCTTTTGAACCCCTTTTGCCAAAACAATTCACTCTGCTTTTCTGTAGTCCATATGTTTTGCTTTCATAAACTGCTTAATCTGAATGTAATTGTCCTAATTTTATTTCTACTCTTTCCCCTCTCCCCCATTTTTTATGCCCTGGTGGTGTGCTAAGTGGTAAAATTAGTAATCTTGCTAACAACAAAGGCTTGGTAGCTTTTCACAGGAGAGATTTTCAAGAGTGATTTGACATACTCATTTTAGAGTAGCTTATTTACAAGTGATACAATTTCAAAATTAATTTGAGGGTGGTTAATTTTTTGTCATAGTCTGCAATACTACCATCCAGATATTTTTGTTCCTGAGGGCTAAACTTGCAGTGCAGTAATGCCAGCAGATTTTTCTGGCTGGTCTGTGGAAAATCTTTCTTGTACCATCATTTGCACTGTACTATGCAGAAGTGCCCACACTGACACCAGCTGATACATTTACATTCATGTTATATATCTGATGAACTATACTGGTGCTTTAACTGATAAAGAAAAGAAGGAAGGTGATTCATCTTCTTCTTGAAAACTTTATGTTCCACTGATTTATGCAGGAAAGGACAAATCCTGGGTTGGTTTTTCTGCGCCTGCTTGTCTGGAGCTGCCTGTGCCTACCAATGGCTGGCAGGGTAAGGCTTGTTTTGGTCTCCACAGCCCATGACAGCTTTCTTTTCTTTTCCTTTCTTCTAGGCCTGTCCCAGGTTCTCTGTCTTCACTACTGCACCTACACAACCGACAAAGACAGCCTATGCCTGCCTCTATGCCCGGCACCCTGCCCAACCCTACCATGCCAGGATCTTCTGCTGTACTCATGCCTGTAAGTTTTCTGATTTGGCTTCTTTGCAGGGTGGAAAGTTGTGTTGTGTTTGATTCAGTCTAAGCAGAGGTGAAAGCCTGCTGGATTTTGTAAAAACCCAGTGTAATAACCATCTTTGGTGCTTCACCTTAGAGTATTTTTGATTAAGTTAGTGTCCTGCTAATTAGTGTGAGAGTGATCAGAAGCAGTTTACATGAGACTACAATTTGTGATTCTCTTGTTCATGAGATCAGTATGTCTGTGCTGGAACAAAAAGATTTTTCTGAATTCAGAAAAAAAAAAAACCTGGAAAAGCAATGTACATAAGTTATGTCAGTGAACTGTAAGTGATCCTCTTGTGTGGGAGATAACCAGTTAAAAAGAAAGAAATGTGATTTGCTTTTCTGGCCTGTTAACTTGCCCTTATTGAGAACTTATTGCTGCTCATCTTTCATCATTTCCAGAGGGATGGGAATGTTTCCCATCTTATGGAAGCCAAAGGGCTGCTTTACAACTGTAACTTCGAATTTTGAATGATTTTAACCTTTTAACCTTTTCAGTAGAAGACATTTGGGCAGGTTAGAGGTGGAAAAGAGTAAGGATGACGTGGGGAAGAGGAGATGGAGAAAAAATAAGTTTTTGCTTCATTTCACTGTGTTCAGTTTGCAAGACAAATCTGAGAGCAATTGACCATGGGAGGGAGAACAGCACTGCTTGTTCTGGCTTTGCTGGATCAAGGGATCTGCAGGGATACAAAGATTCAGGTTAGGCTGCTATTTGAGAAGTCATGAATAAGTTATTAATTATTAACCTGTCAATAACGCTCCCCTGGAATATCGATTGGGAAATTTAACAAAAAAAACCCTAAGACATGTAATTGTGGGAAGTTTTTTTCTGGCATGACTCCCAGAGAACCTGAAATGCAACAAACATCCAGCAACAGTGTAAGTTCAGTGGTTTCAGTCTGCTGGTGAGGAGCCCTTTGGGCAGCTGTACTTGCGGACGAGCAGGTGTGTTCTGGCTGTGGGCCCTGGAGATACGAGCATGGAGGTGAGGCAAACCCTGTCAGCCCTGGCTGCTCCTCCTGCCCCACAGAGCTCCTTGAAAGGGCTGCAGGGGAGATGCCAGCGGGAGCTGCTCCTGCCCCTTGGAGAAAGGGTAAGGAGGCAGCTTTTCCCTGCCAGTGGGCAGAGGGATAGTCACATTTCCCCAAAGCCCAGCACCCATTCTTGCAGGCATTGTGGAGAGTGGAGACAACGCTTCACCACGAAACAATACCTCCCCTGCTTGGATTGCACAGAAAGGCCCCAAAGTGTCTTTTTTTAGGAGCCAAAGGTTTGGCAGACAGGCTCAAAGCAAGGTGGGACGCTCAGCTCTGTCTGGAAGCAGCACCATAATCCTGCTTTACCACCCTTGACAAGGCCTAGCAGTGTGCAGGGTTTGTCTCTTTTAGGGGAATACCCTCCAGGAAATTATTTTGTAGAGGATTTAGTGCCATTAGGTTTTGTTTGTATCACTCCCTCCCAGCCTAGGGAGAGTTGCTTGTAGAAAGGGCTCTGAACAGCCAGGAGAAGTTTTGCTTTCTTTTTTGCTATCTCAGCAGTGCATGAAAGCTTCCCTTACAAGACATGTAGAAAACTCTTCCCAGCTGAGCAGTCTGAGTGAAGGAAAACCAGCCAACTTGTTTTCCATATGCTTGAGATTGTAGATTTTTATTTATGCTTTTAACAAGCTGAGTTGGGCTGCACTGGGAGGGGAAGCTACAATTTTATACAGTGATGCTTTTAAAACCACTTAACTCTGAGTGTTGTTATATTGGAAAGGGAGAAAATCATTACAAAAAAGCGCAAACCTGGGTGGCTGCAACATTTGTTTATTAAAGAACCCCTTTCTTTATAATTGGCTGGGAGTTTTCAGGGCCGATTCTGATGAAACACACGCCTACGTGCACACACATATGCAATTCATGACACAGATAGTTATTTTCCCAGTCATGACTTGAAGAAATAAAGCTGAGTCCATTTAAATAGAAACCGAGAGTAAATTCTTGCAAATGTCGCCAGATGTTTTCAAACCTTTTTTTTTTTATTATTTCTTTTGAAAGATGGAGCGACAAATGTCAATGAATTCCAACATCATGGGGATGCAAGGGCCGAACCTCAATAATCCGTGTGCTTCACCTCAAGTTCCCCCAATGCATTCAGAAGCCAAAATGGTAAAAAGAGAATTTTTTTTTTAAATTACTGTGTTTTCTCATTTTGCTGTTGCATACCAGTTTCCCAGACAGTGGGGGGGATGTAGCCAGACACTGCTTACTTCATTCTTAGTCATACGTTATACTCTTTTTTAATATGCTGCAGTAAATTGCCTTTGTGTCTATGAACTCTCAAGATGTCCTTAGTCCTAAGTGATCTCTCGGTGAGAGGGAACTGAAGGGCGAGCTATCTGATCCATACTGTGCTAAACAGGATTTTTGGTGCAGGTCAGTAGAATTTAAGCAAATGGTCTGGCTATTTCTCTTATGGTGTCTGTGCTCCACAACTTGATCTAAAAGAAAATTGTCAGTTAATAAAGAGTGCAGTATAAAGTGTGTGCTGCAGAGGGAGTGTACATCGTCCTTGTTTTTTTCCAGATAGGAGCATAGTGTGTCAGAGAAGCATACCAAACTAGATATATCTATATATCTATACCAAAATTGTTTTTTAAAGTTGTTCTACATCTTAAAATGTCAAGGCTTCGCAGGTATATGTACTGACACAGGATTAATGTAGGTAAACTAAACTACAGGTGGACATTTGTAAGTTTTCCTCAGCTTATATGCACTCTTGTGGAGGTACTTGGGACTAATTTCCTTGGAATCAAGTTACCAGTGTAGAAACACTTTGGCTTTTTAAGTTTCAGAACTGACATTTGCTGCTGTCTGATGGCAATATGAAGACAGAAGTTTTTAGCTTTAACTCTGTAGGATTTTTATCCTCTCAATATATCTCATCATCATGAAAAACAAGAGTAACTTCATTGAACATCTTTCAGTGGCATTTCTCCAAGGTAAAATTGCCATAAGTGAGAGAATGAAATCAAGCCGACAAAGATTAAGCAATCACATGTTTTTATATGTTTCTACTTTACATGACTGGTACAGCTTTTAAAGTTGTTGTCATCTATCCTGAGGCAAAGGAAAATATCTATTTGTCTATAGGCATGGAGCACACAGGAGACTCTGGGTTAAGAGCAGCAACACATACGAGTTTATTCTACCTCTGTTTTCTTAGGTTGGGTAGGTCATGCCTTTGCCTCACTGTTGGTCTGGGTTAGACTGTTAACCCAACCTCTGTTAACACTCTCTCTAAAACCACATTCCATAAACATGCAGCCATTTGGCCAGAAGAAGAATGATAGCCAAAAACGCTGGCTCCCCCAGCCAAGGAAAACCTGTGGTCGAGAGCTCTCTCTGCTGTACCACACAGTGACGGTGACATGCCAAATGGCAACGGCATCTGCAGCAGAGCTTGTTAAAAACTTTTTGGAATAGGCAAGTGTTTTTTCAATGCAAGTGTAGCTGAGCCAAGCTAAATACTCCTTGGCTGAATAAATCAAAAACTGTTTTGGGGACTAAAGGTTCTGTAGTTTACTCTCTCCCCACACCCCCTGCCTCTTTTTTACTGGTAGTGTGAGACTGCCTAAGAACAGGATTAAATTATTGGTGCATATGGTGAGAATTCTGTGCTTTAATAACTAAAACTGTGCATTAATACAAATTACCTTTTAATCTGGATAAGCAGGCTTTGTCCCTAAATCTAATGTATTAAAGACATTTTAATGCATGAAGAAATTGTTATCAGATCCAAAATGTGGTGTAGTGAACAAGCAGAGCCTTTACTTCTCAGGGTCTTTCTGCCACTCTTCCAAGGGTAGGAAAAAATCTGCACACGTTAACTCTTTAGAGGTATAATTCAGAGTTCCAGGACTTTTTCTCTTTTCAAATGCAGGTGTGGGGTTTTAAAAATATTTTATATTTCTATATTCTAATTTTATACTTTAGTTTCTGTGTAAGCCCACATGCAATATAAAAAGCCTCTTCATTTAGCCACTGATTTGAGGAATATGAATCTATTAACAATAATCTGCGTGAATACAAAGTAGAAAAAAATCAGGAAATATTCAGAGCAAAATTATTTCTTACATGTAAATTCATGGATTTTAAATCAGAATCATCTGTGTTACAGGGATGTTTATTCTTATTGTTAAGTATTTCACTTTTCCTCATGCTTAAAGCATGATACTTCACATACTCTGGTGACTCAGTTAAAAGTGAGAGTGCTTAGTACCTTATCACACTCTGTCCTGCATTAGGAAAGGATTTCAGAGTTCCCTGGGTTCTGCTAATGCTATTACTGCTGGTGCATTCAGCATTGCTTATGTTCTCTTTGGCTGGCCCCACCCTGAGAAGAATGTATGTGTCAAACACCAGAAAGAGTCATCTAAGATGCTTGTGGCTAGTGACTGAAGTAACTGGAGAAGTCCAGGGGACTTTGAGCCTAATCATCAGGTGCCCAAATCCATGGGAGTATCAGCACTTTTGGGAGGCCTACGTGAGAGAATGAGGGACAGGCTCCTCTAAACGTGAGACCCAGATGTGTGACAGACCCTTCTGGCCTCATGGCAATAAGTACCTGAGCAGTGCAAGTGCAATTGGGCATGCAGCAGTCATAATGCTGTTTGGTGATACATGGGACCTAATTTGCCTCTGTAAAATGTATGTGAATAAATAATATCAGTAGGGATGCTGTGTGATGCCAGGTGTTTTAAAGACAGCTAATAGATGGCAAAAGGTCCATGCCCTTGAGTTGTTCATAATTTGTTTATAGTGGGAAATGGAAGCCAGCCTGATAAATATATACATTGTCTGACATACAAGCACATCTACACACAAACAGAGAATATGTGTGACTTTTATGTAATGTTTCTACAATAAGCAATACGTATTTTAATTACCTTGTATCACCTGGCATGTATGGAAAGCCCCACTCTGCCACCCAAGATGCTTACTTCCTGGTTTAATTTTTTCAGGAGAACATTCCATCAAGTATTAAGGTATTATAGATGACATCCCAGAATTGATTTAATTTATCACAGCAATCTCAGTGTCCCTCACAGTATGCCTCTCAATTAGGTTATCACCTAATGCTTTAAAACTGTCCTAGTAAATGAATGAGTGAACATCTAAATCAATACTGCTTTCTTCTTAGATTCACAGCCGAGTGGATAAAACTCTTATGCTGTCCACCAAAAACACACATTGATTTTATATTAAAATATATTGCACTGGAAAGAGGAGGAAACATATAGCTCTTAAGTGTACATGGTAAAAAATATGCAGAGTCGCACGTGTAGCATATTAACATGTGGTTCAGTAGGCTGAAAGTATTATGAAGTTGGAACTGTTGGCGATGCCTTTGCCTTAATATACTGCCTACATACAGCTTGCTTTTGCAGTTTCAGAGTAGTGGAGGTTTTAGAACTCAGAAGTGTGATACTGTGTGGATTACTGGAGTGAAAGATAAATAGTGTGCACTGAACTGCTGTAAGACTGTGTGACAGCAGGTCTTTTCGATGGAGCTGAGGCCTTTCTCTCCAAGTTTTGCAAGGCATTGATCTTTACCTGCAGAAATTTATGGCCTCTGAAAGGAGGTATAAAAAGCAGGCTGGCAATGAAAGAAATGAATTTAAAAATACAGTTTTCAATTTAATCTATTAATTTTTTCTTTTACAATTTCTGCCTGCCACTTGCTGGATATGTAGTTTAATAAAATTTAAACTAGATGTTATATGTGTAGTTTGGCTGTGCCTGTAATCCTGACAGAAAGTGAAGAAAAGAGAAAAAAGAAAAGGAAAAAAAAAAAAGAAAATAGAAAAAAGAAGAGAAAAGAGAAAAGAAAAAAATTATTTCTGTATCAGAATTGCACAAGACTGTGGGCTGTTGTAATCATTACTAGGTTGAACAGCAAAAAATTTAAAAAAAAATAAAATTTGAAAGTGTTTGTCAGATGAAAGAGTGAAAACATAACCAGAAAAGAAAAGTAATAAATTGTTAGACTGCATGTCCCTAATTATAATTAGAAAATAACCAAACCTCCTAATATGCCTAAGAATGCCGGACAGCTTTGGCAGAGGAGAGAAATGAAAGAAATTACAGTGAGCCAGTTGTCATCAGCACTAATTTTTGTTCAACTTAATTAGAGGTAAGGGTCCAGATCCTACTGGAGGCTGTGTAAATCCAGTGCAGGCATCACTCAGCTCTCCATCCCAGAGGAAAGGCCAGGCTGTCTGCAGAGACCCGGCTGCCTTTTGTATGGCTCTAAGACGTGTTGCTATCTGCAGGAACACACCACACCAGCCAAACGGGAAAGGCTCGGCCATGAAGGTCGAGGGATGCAGATTATTGTGTGAGTTTGGATGGAGTCTTCTGCTGCTCCTTGTTTTACAAATATCATGTGTTTCTGTGCCTGTGAGCTGCGATGGTGCAGCCGGTGCAAAGCCAGAAGCAGCTGGAATAACCTCTCACCCAGCCCCGCTCTGGTACTCGGCTCGGCCATTGCAGCAGCCCTTGGATGTGGAAGCAAAAAGTGCTGCCCAAACAGCAGTGGCTGGGACAGCTGGTGGCCGTGGGAAGGACATCCCTCTGGATTCCTGCTCTGGGACCAGCTTTGCAAGGTTTCCGTGCTGATTTCAGGCAAGGGGCTGACACAGGCAGGGTCAGAGCCACTGAAACTCTAGGTTTAGATATTTCCCACTTCCTCACTGAAGATACTTTGTTGAACAAAATAAACGTTTTAAAGTCTACGTTTTCCTATCAAGCTGGCTGCGAATGGAATCACAATAGAACAGCACATCCTGCTTCAGGGCCAGAAGGCTTTTCTTTGCATAGATTCTGGACTGCTAAACAGAAAGAAAAATGTTGCATCTCTGCAGAGCTTTCAGTAGCAATTGCTCATCTTGTACTTCACAATAAAGCAATGAAAGCAACATAAGAGAAAAAAAAAATGTGCAAAGCAACATCTTCCAAAGAAAAAACAGAGTTGTGGTGAAATTTCCTGTATCGGTAACTGAGAAGTGTTTTCACAGAAGGGACTGTTGTATAGTTAAAACCCACGGTGCTTCTGCAACTGTTGACAAAACTCACTATTCTGAAATTGAATCCCCTGCTACATTTGT